TTTGAATCCCACCAGTCCTGCAACCAAATAGTTTTGCTCTCACGTGCGCTGGTGTAGCTATAGTACAAGTCAAATTTCAATCCCATGAGTCATTAGTACACGGTAAAAAGATAGCCCAAAATCCACACACTACAGGAGAAATGCACATAGAACATTAAGATAAGTTTGACTCACTCAAACAGCTATCTTTGTCCCCAATGGACGCTTAAGTACGGTGAGCACATGAATTGAAAGCCATTTTTAAGAGCTTTCTAACAGAATTTTAAAAAAATAAAGTACCATTACTATATTTAACCTTCCAAACTAGTAGAAGTGGTGACACTAGGTGGGAAGAACCATCTAGTGAGAACCATGCCACGCAGAAGTCACAAAAAAAAGAAAAGAAACGTGCAAATGGCAGTGGCAGTAATTATTTCTGCAAGAGCAGCTGATTGTGATGTCTCTTCTTGTTAGTATTATTGACAGACAGCAGCAATGAATATGGATTACAACAACAATAGACTCAATCTTTTATAACTAGTATTAGTTCTTGCTTCATTAAAGTATCTCAAGAAGTTGTAGCAGGCATGCAGCAGTGCTCAACTCAACTGGTGGTTTCAAAATGACAAAATGGAATTATTGACCTGATATGGTCTTTTTCTTCCTCTGCTCCTCTTGGCTGTCATTGTTTCTTGTTTTGAATTTACAAACCAGCTACTATTGTAAATCAGCACTGCAAACTGTGAGGAGATATTGTGCTGCTCCATTACTCTACTCATTTTTGCGTCATCAAACTTTTTTCTTGAAGTCATTTCTGTTTGCTGTTACACAGACTACTATCTTCACACATCATTCATCACTAGTAATCTCAACAGGACAATCAGAGTTATATTGCTAGTTGTAGTAGGAGCACAGAATTCAGGTTTTGCTGGCACAGTTCATGGGGAGCATGGCAAAATTTGAGATGGGAACAAACCCATTTGGATGACAAAAGACAAATTGAAACATGTTTTCTATCACACTGGTNAGATTTCACTGGGGATTGAGTAGTCATGTTATTGTGTCCATGACTCAATATGACTACATAGTAATCAATAGACCTTTCTTTACTTGTTACCACCACCAAGCCTATCAAGTAGTATCATATAAGCCCCTCAGTCTTTCTTCCTACTAGTATTGTTTCCAYAGCTCAAGTTTCTTTCCTCTAGGGCAACAGTTGCTGCAAATGGATTGGAWTACAATCTCAATTGTTTCTGGTCACAAAAATTGATAAAAGCTATCTTTCAATCTGTTTGACCAAAAAGGTACTACTGTATCTCTTAACAAATTTTTCTTCAATTTCAGAGATATGGTGGGTAGCTAGCCTTCCCTTGGAGCAACTAGTACTACCAGTAGAAGCATCCTTCTCCTGAGGAGTTCCCCTCAGAAGAGATTGTAATGGYTCACATATCACCTCTTCTACTAGTAGTTCATGAGGTGAAAAATAATTTCAGTTTTTCCAAATGGACTGTCAACCTCATGAGGAGTAGGAGGCCAGCTTGGTGTCTTTGATACAATGTTAGARCTCTTCCTGGTGTCTAATTACAAGCACTGGTGGGAATCCAAGCAATCATACCACTACTAGGAGAGGGGTAGTACTAGTAGTGAATAATGTTATCCACAACAGTTTTGAAGGAAGCCCACCATTAGTCCTCTTCTCCTCCCTATCCTATAGGCTTGGCCAGCAAATCTATGATCCAGTTGTAGATTTTGGGCTATCTGTATGCGTGTAATGGCTACTTTGACTAAAAAAAACTAAATACATACAAAATGCGCGTGCTCAGTACTTGAATTTTTGAATCCCACCAGTCCTGCAACCAAATAGTTTTGCTCTCACGTGCGCTGGTGTAGCTATAGTACAAGTCAAATTTCAATCCCATGAGTCATTA